GTGTTCAGTAAATGTTGACTTACCATTGTCTCTCATTACATATTACTTCTCTGTGTATATGAAGAAAAGTCTGTAAACTCTAATATATTAGTTGTTGCTTAATTAAATATTTCTTCTCTGACAGGCATTGTGGTAAGCACTTTAGAAGTACAGTCTTTCAGTCCATGAATTATCATCATCCACATTGTCCATGAGAAAATGAAGTCAGAGTGATTATGTTGTTTACCCAATGAAGGCAGAGCTGGGACTTCAAACCAGCCACTTTATTCCAGATCTGGCTGCACTCTGCTGCCTTCTGGTGTTGCCACCATCTTTCTTGGCATGCCGTAAACCTTGCAACAGTGTTTGAGACATCATCCCCACTGGAAAGCTTCTCTAACTCCCCTCACCTGCGTGTGGCTGGATCAAGAGCCCCCAAGTCTCAGCAAGACCCTGAGATTGTCTCTGACTTTGTGCTGATCACAGAGAATTATAATAATTTGTTGGCTTCTTTGACTTTTGCTTCCACTGGACTGTGCTACCTAGTTAGTAGCCATATTTTATATTTCTGGATCCAAAATAGGATCATTAAAGAAGAATGACCTCAGGTGAATTACCTGATGCTGCCGGCTTCAGTTTCTGTAAAATGCTATAATAATATGTATTTTAGGATTGTGTGTGTGTGTGTGCACGCGCACACACTTAAAACAGCACTAGGTACATAGTAAACTTCAATAAATAGTAATTGTGGCTATTATTTTTGTGATTGGTAACCAAGGGGCATTGTTAAACGTGAACAGTGTATATAGTGTGCTGATCAGAAATCTCTTAATTAACCTCACTGAATTTCTCTGCCCCACAATGAATTTTGACTTCCATCATCTCCATCCACGACAAGTGAGTTAAGTCAAGTTAGAGTACACCAGTGGTTTACTCTCTCAAAAAAGAAGGCTGTGGGGCTGGGATTGTAGCTCAGTGGTAGAACACTTGCATAGCATGCGTGAGGCACTGGGTTCAATTCTCAGCACTGCATGTAAATCAATAAATAAAAAATAAAGGTCCATCAACAACTAAAATAATATTTTCTTTTAACAAAAGGAAGGCTGTGTAAATGGAGCCCCAGCGTACTCTCCTTTGATCCTCAGGGAAGTTTTGCTTCCTGGGCCATTACTTGCTGATAGTGCCCCTAAATGTTGCCACCAAGCCCAGCAAATCAACACATTTTACTGCTCCATTGTTACCAGCTACATGCAATCAGTATTGAGATCTATTCCTCCAGTAAGCAATCTCTGTATAGGAGCATTAAATCTCTGTATAGGAGCATTATGGGACCACACGGAGCCTCTTCTCTTGAGGTGGTGACTTGGATCTTGGGGGTCAAAGAGAACTAACATTAGGAAACGTCTTTGACCAAGTGCCGGCCTTAGTGCCAGGTGCTTGGCATTTGTTGTATATATCAGCCTCATGGCAGTTCTGAGGGGAAGTCGCTTCCTTGTTTCCTGGACGCAGCTGAGGGAAGCATTTAGTCAGCCATGGAATCAGGATTTCAGTCAAAGGGCTTTAACTCCCAGCCCATGTGTTTTCCTCTCCAATATGTTGCCTTCCCACTTGGTTCCAGATCTATAACCATACAAAGAACCTATGCTTTTCAGATGAAGATCTGGGCCCCTGTTTTCTGTGTGTCTTGGGCACCTCTGGTTTCCTGCTTTGTGGAGAAATGCTCCTGTGTTGGGTTAATGCTAGTGTCAGAACTTCCCTATGGCAACTTAGAGGATTTGCACGGGCACAGAGCGAATTCCTCAAGTGAGTAATCTCTTTTTAAAATGCCCGTACATTTTTCAGTGGTTACAGACTTGACAGGGCCTAGCTTTGAATTGACTGAAGCACTCCTGGCAGCATTTAGTCAGCTCCCTGAAGTGGAGTTTCATCTTGGACTAGCACAGGCAGCCCAGGAGTGGTGGAATGCCCTCCTCTGGGAAGCAAGCTGCCTGTCTACAAGGGGAGCAGTTTCTGAGCCAAGAAACTGGGTCTGTATATGGCCTGCCGGTCCGTCTGAGCTGGTCACCTGTGTGCAGGTCACAGCCCAGGGGAAGGAAGGTGGGACTAGTAGCACACATTTGCTTCAGAACCATTGTCTTCTCAGTCTCAGATCCAAAGCCTTCCATGAAATAAGAGTGGCTTTAAAAGATGTATTTCAAAAGACTTTTCAGAAAGCCCATAAAAAACCCTGGATGTAAAGAAATGAGGCATAAAACCCAGACTGTTTGGAAGTCAAGCTGAAAATTGGGGTAGCAAGTCTCCATTTCCACTTATTAAATGGAAGAATAACTTAACAGTAGCATCCAGATGGATTCTGAGAACTCTTTGGTTTTAGAAGCCTTTAGGTGTTTTACTCAGAAGCCCAAGTGCTGCCCACTTGAGCCCCTGCAGTGCTGCGGAGGAGGCACAAGAGCCAACATCTGTGCTGGTCTGGGGGACAAGGAGTGGAGTGTGGGAGTGACTCGAGGAAACTTTCATTAAGTCTGGTGTAGTGTGCATTGTGCGGGGCAGAGCCTCTTTCTCCTCTTAATGTGCAGGTTTTTACAGAAATGGAACCCCAGAGTGAGATACTGCACACTCGCAAAGGCACATTCCGAGTGCCGTGCGTGCCCCTGCCCGTTGCTCTTGTTTTCATTTTCCTCTCGTGAACCTTGCTACCCTGGCTTCAGCACGGAGGCTGTAAAGGAAGATGGAGAGCCGAGTTACCTCAGAATGATCACTATCGTTAACATTCACGGGTGGTTCACTTATCATTCCTGACTGCACAGACATGGCAGCCGCTCGGAAGCGTCCGCAGGTGTAGCATGGTGATACATATTACATTGTGCCACAATGGATTTATGTATTCTGTAACAAAAGAAAAGTGTAATGAAAAAATACAGAAGGTAATCCTTTATTCCTCCACCACACAATTTATCAGTAATGCCTGTGGATGATAAGTGCCAGGGATTTCCTCTGCTTGCTTTAACCTTGTCACCTAGGTACGTTTTGGTAAAATGACAGAAAAATACAGACTGGGGATTTTCCTCTGTTCAAAAATATTTTAAAAGGACACTTTTAATTTATGGACGGTAGTCCAAACACAAGGCTTCCTTTTGAGCTTTTAGTCTGCCTTTGCTGAAAAAGATGAACGCCTTGGCTTGAGGTAAGAATATCAGCCAGTAGCAGATCAGGAAAGAAAGAAAGCATTTTATAAGCAGACTCAGATCTACAGTACTTGAAGTAGAACCCGGATGGGTGGGGAGTTCTTGAGGTCTAGGCAGGACTAGTTTGTGAGTGCCCAAGAACTTGTATTCCCGTTCAGCCCTGCTGGTCCATCTCCCTACATATTGCCACAGATGGAGCACACACTGACTTCCTAGGAGAAAGCTGGGGAAAGCAAATCTGAACGTGTTTGATTGGCATTTGTTCCAAACACACACTGGCCTAGTGCCAGAACAAATACCCCAAGTTTTTAAATGTCCAAGGCACTTTACATTTCAGTACTCTTGCCAAACGATCACTTATGCATCACTCCCTAAATATAGTTTTTTTTTTTTTTAAAGAGCTATTTCTTATTTTGCTTTGATCAGTAAAATAAACTTTTAAAGATTGTTCTGGGATAGGGTCCAGCTTCTGAGGTAAAGAATGGCCAGGGCTCAGGCATGATTCAGTAACAGAGTGTTCAGTAAAATTAGCTTGACAGTTCTCAGGCCTGCTGTTCGATAGCAAGAACTTGACCAAGTTAAAATGGATGATCATGCTGGCCAGACCAGCATCAGTTTTGCTTTTTAACAAATGGAATGTCAGAGATTAAATAGCCATCCGTATGGAGAGGAGGGTTGTGATATGACTCTGTATTAGGGAAGCAAATTGGGTTCTTGGTTTTGATATTGGCCCCTCGCCCCTGTGGAGAGCCAGCCACCTGGTTGGGTCCAACCTAGACTTCAGGCCCCTTCCCAGTCTATCCTACCTTTGAGAAGCTTTTCCAGGATTTAGCTTGGGGCTTTGGCTTTTCTTTCAGATTTCTTGTCAATAGGAAGTTCTGCCATGTTTTTTGGCCATGTTCCCCTTTGAGATTCTTACAGGGAAATGGGAATGTGACCAGACTCCTCGTGGCAATTCCCATGTTCCATAGTTGGAAACTTGGGTCCTGCTTGTTACACGAATTACTTGGAATGGTCCCGTTTTGTTCCTTTGCCCAAGCATAGTGGGTAATAGTTAGGATACTTGCTTTTGCAATTAACAGTCTTGGTGAGGTTTATACCTCACCCAGGAGTTGGGCTGCTGTTTTTGACTACTTGTTCTTTAGCTATTTTCCCCTTAGATGAAGCCCCCTACCCCTACCTAATTTGATCGACTAGAAGCTTACAAGTGGTGTTAATTCTTTGTCTTATAATAGTTTGTGCATCAGGTAATATTTTGTTTGTCTTTTTAGGACTAAGTAGATGAAAACATTCCTACTGACATGTACACAAACTCTATATTTAATAATACACATAAAGAGAGATGTATGCTTTGCTAGGTGGTTAAAAAAGCCTTTTCTTTTTCTGCATCTAAATTGCTTTGGGGTGTCCTTTCCCCCAGCCTTCATAATGCTTTTCCTCCAGGGCTTGTTATTCCAATGGCAGGATCTGCCTGCAGTGACATCTGCTGACATGCCAAGTTTACCAGTTGTCAGTCCTTGCTGCAGGATTTGACTGAGGAGCCAGCACCAGGAACCCACAGTATTACTGACTCACACAGACCTATTAGTTTCAATTTGAGATGAATCGGAAAAAAAAAAATACCCTAACCCTGACCTCTCTTTCACTTGGAACTTCTTATACTTCAGTATCTCCCTCCCTGCATTAGAAGTAGATTAAATTCAACCTATTTTTAGGTAATTGACACTAATAATTGATTTACACTTAGTTTAAAACTTTCTGAAACACAATAAAGATTGTAGTAATGTCCCTCTGGTTCAATGTTTGTGATGATTTAACGTTTGTCTTTTCCTGCAGAAATGCTGCTCATGGATTCTCCCTCATTCAGGTGGACAACACCAAGGTCACCATGAAGGAGATCTTGCTGAAGGCAGTGAAGCGAAGAAAAGGATCCCAGAAGATATCAGGTGGGAGAGTAGAATCCAACCCAGCAGCAGAAGCTTAACCCTTAGTGAAAAGGGCTGTGTGTAATGGCTGGCTGGGTTGTTTCAGATATCATTGCTAGGAGGTTTGGTTAGCAGGTCTACTCCCACCCCTCCCCTCCCCCCACCAACCAAACCCCGGCTGGGCCTTAGGAAGGGATTGGGTCAGGGACATATGTGTGAAGAATATGTTCATATCAGTTATGGACATTCCGTCATTAATAATTTGTGGTAAATTAAGACAGAGCTACTTGTGTTAACCATTAGTTGATGTAAAGCTGTCTTAAAAACTGAATCAATCCTGAACTTGAATTAATGCTTTTAATTTCATGTTTTCACATAATTTTTCAAAGGAGAACTTTTAATTACTAGTGTTTAAGATATGGAAAAAAAATAGAAGAAAAAAATTTCATTTTTACCAAATGAAGACAACCTTTTAAAGATAAGTCACTTTATGGATACAAATACGTATTAGTCTCTTAACTCTTCACTTCCCGACTTGGTGTAGAAAATAGGCTTCTGATCCTAGCTATGATATTTAAAGAATATAGGGGAAAAATATTGCTGGTATTGAGAAATAATTATCTTGAGAAATACCTCAAAGATTTGTCATACCACAGACAACTTTAATATAAATCAACCTATGTATGACATGTCAAAGAGCTTTGTAAATAAAAAGACTTCTTAAACACCTGATTTCACCTTTTGGAAAGGATAAAAAAACATTGCTCGTATTGAAGAAAATAGTTTTGTGCTCTTTTTAAGGGAAAGCATATAATCTGTTCCAGATTTAATTAGCTATCTTCAGATGAAAGCTGAAGTTTTAATAAAAGTTAGAAGAGATAACACAGTGAAGGACACGGATGAGCTGTCTCAAGGCCATATTCCAGGGGAACGATAAGAGCTGTAAAAAATGGCAGAGGAGAGCAATTGAATGGAGCAATGAAAATCTGATTCTCATAAAAAAGAGAGAGAGAGAGAGATGCTGGTAGGGGCGGTTGTAGATGAGACCTGCTAGCGTCTGCAAGCAATTTGGATGCTTGCCAGGAGTCATTGTTCACCCTCGGCTGTGGCGGCTCCGTCCAGATGTGCCAACTGCACGTTTCGGCTTTTGCCAGCTGACTGCGCCGTTTGATAACCAGCTCTCTGGATGCCCATCACTGGCCGCAGAGATAGAATTAAATGATGATGATCTTCCCACAAGTTGGGAGAGGAAACAATGCATATAAATCTTGATTTCATCTCAGCATGAGAAGTCTTTATCCATCATCACTCATAATGAACAAGTCGTTAGCTGGGATGAATGGTGTTCTGGTTTTTCCAAACACCTCTTTTGTTCATTTTTTGGGTGACTTTTATCTATTGCGTGGGGGTCAAACCTCTTTGCATTTAGGGGATGATTGAAGAGGCATAGCCTCTCCTTCCCAAGGGAAAGTAGATATTTTGGGGTTCCAGGTGCCAATCAGTAGCTTTTAAAGCGCCTTAGATACTCAGAGATATTTAATAAGCATCCATCCTCCTTTAGAATCTGGGTTCTTTTCTCTTGTTTGTCTCTAAGTTTTTTTTACATGATACATATTTTGTGATGTAATTCTTTATACTCTAAGAATGCAGTATTTTGAATTGTCAAAGAAGGAAGTAGAACTTTTAACTTCTTAATAGAAATTCTGCTGTCACAGATTTTTCGAGACCATGAAACTCCTATGAAGTTGCCGGGATAAAGCTGAGCCAGTGTCTTTCCTTCTGTCTGCAGCCATCTCTGTCCAATTTTATGCCTGTTTATCCATGTCATCCCCAGCATCCACATTTATCACACACACATTTATTTATGTTCACCTTTGTGTCTGCATTTCTGCCATTTCCTTCAGAGTCTTTGCCATATCCTTGGCAAAGACTTAGTACTCAATATCAGAAAAAGTGATCTGCATTATTTATTCCTTTTCATACTAGAGAAGCCAATTGAGATTGATACATTTACATAAATTACTGTCCATTTTCTTAATCCAAAAAGCTCTTATAATAAGAAGCTCTTTCAATTGCTTTATTAAATGTCTGGTCTCATGATATAAGAGGATCTCTAGTTTGGCTAAGATATTTGCCTAAGGTTAGCATGGTAAAGTCAGAGAATACTTTGTGGTTTTGAACTTTGTGTGGTGGGTTTCTTTTAGAAGTTGATTAATGAAAAGAGAGAAATCTGATGTCATATAAGGGAGCATAAGTACATTTACTTTTCAGAATCTGTTGGTACTCAAAATTGCTATGAAATACTTAGTGCTTACCCATTATGACACATGAACTTAGTCATGAACTTGGTGGGAAGAGATGCCAAGTTAGAGATACTCGTCCTTTACTTGCTAGTTGTCCCACAGTAGCCTGCCCAGTCTTTGGAAGAAGATGTCTATTATATCTAGAACAGGATCAGAGTGCTTAGCTCTCTGGTCAAGCAGCTTTTAACTGATGGAGTGCAGAACCCTGTTTGTCTCTTTACTATATTGTTTTTTAACTTGAGAAGTGGAAAAATGCCACCTGAAATAAAGTAACACGTGTGGGCCCTGTAAAGTTAGTAGTTCCCATGCTGTTCATTAGCTGTTAGTTAATATTAGAATAAGATTTCAGAAATTCTTTGGTAAACTAACAGTGAACTTCTATCTTGTTCCCGAATAACCACACAGCACTTCATTTAATTGTAACAATGAATTAAGAATTTGAACTATTTCATATTAAATCAAAATGTGGGATTAATGATAGTCCTGATATTTAAGTACTTTATTGTCCTTCCCTCTGGCACTTGCTATTTGTAAAAATATCAGAAAGTACTATATGTTTGAGCAGAAATTCTTCTTTGTTTAGGTAAATTGCTTCATCCATAGAAACACAGAGGGCTTTAAAATATTTTTGCTTTTTATGATAGAATACCATTACAAACACTTGTAACTAATCCAAATTTTGACTTGCATTACTTGTATTATTTCATAGAATCACTATTTGTAAACACTACAGGGCTTTTTCCTGTTGATATTCATGTACTTAGCTATAGGGGTCTTTGCACAGTGTGTTCCAGTCAGTTCTTTGCTAAGGCCCATTTTTTAAAGTCTACTTTTAAAGTTTCTTTTAGAAGTTTCTCTGTAGCTTTTCATTTTATTTCTGACCTATTGACATTTGGAATCTACATGCATTGCTAGGAAGTTCCCACTATTGGAGAAAATAGTAAATGGAGAATCAGTTTTCAGAAGAATTTGATGAGATCTTTTTACTAATTTAAATAGTTACATGGGTGAGTTTTTGACACAGTGAAATAACCTGTTAGGCCCCTGGATTCAGCCAGCAAAATATACTCACCTGTTTAGTAAATAAAGACCTCAGTTCATCGGATCTCCCTCTGTCAAGGTCACCTGCTTGAACAGTGACCTCATGAGCTTCTCAGTGTTTCATTTATTGTTGTTTAGAAATACTATTACCCACTGGTCTCCTAAAGCTTGATGTTGGCTATGACAGAGACATGGTTGAGAAATGGAGGCAGATCAGTTTCAATTTTAACACTGACCCAGGGAATACAGGTACCTCTTGATCTACAAGAGAGAAGGCTTCACAGTGGGATTAACCAAGCAGAGTAGAATTCTGTATTGCTGATTCAGTATTCATTCTCATTATGAAATGGAGGTGCTTTTCTCTATTATCTGCTGAGAGGTGAACAGAAGCAAATTCACTTTTCCTTACCCCTATCTTCTTGCCTTTTGATGTGAAAGATAAATTTTTATTAGTGTGGAGATCCTTTTTAAAAGTTCTGCTATTATAAACCTTGTGACGTGCATTCCTACTGTCTTATAAAATTTCACCTATAACACTCAAAAGGAAAGTGTTAGCTTTGTCAAATGAATGCCCTCTTAACATCTCTAGTTATATTAAGTTACAGAGCACCCATTGCTTGCTAGTTAGATCTGATCTCACAAGACTGCCTAGAATGTCACCAGGGTGTTCCCTGAAGCACAGTAGGGAATTCCCTAAAGTACTGCTAGCAGCAGAAAGAGGAAGCAAATATCTACCACAGGGTGTGGGGTTCTGGTCTGAGGGATACTAATAATGGCATCATTGGATTTTTAAAAATTCGTGTAAAAATCTACATATTTATCCATAACACATTGTAGCTCTGGGGTACATTCCCTCTTTGTGTACCCCCATATATTAGACCTGTGTCCGATCAAGGAAGCAGTGGTGAGGATCCACAAGACCCTTGCTGAGGAGGACTTTGTGTTCTAGAGAGAAAGTAAGAATAAAGGCCTGAAAGGGTGAAGAATAGCTTGCAGGAAAACTCACTGCATCCTGTTTGGTGTTTAGGGAACTCCTCTTCTGAGAAATTCACATAATGACCTTCACGAGAGACTGTGGAGAGGGCAGTGCCATTCAAAGCAGTGGCTTACCATATGTAAGGATAAAGAGAACATTTAGATTACTTTGCAGTTGAATTTACTTAACTTCTCCCCACCCAAAATTGTAGTAAAATTGACTTACAATAAGTGCCCAGCATAGGATACAGTCATCCACCCAATCACCAAACTACTATCCACTTGTCAGTCTTGAATTTTTCCCTGCTCTGTCTCCCCATGTCTTAACCATTAGCAAAGATACCTTGATCAGTTTTACCTCTAGAATATATCCTGAATCCATTCAGTCATTTTCATCTTCATTGGATAAGTCCAAGTTACTGAGACTTTCTTCTGAACTGTTGAAAATAGCACCCTGGCTGGTTTTCTTGCTTCTGTTCTTAAGCACTTTCTAGTGATCAGAGATACCTTCTGAAATATGAATCAGATCATATATGCTCCAGACCCTTCACTGACTTACTGACTTCAGTTGCATTCAGAAAAAAATTCAAACTTCCAACCACTGAGTCTTTAAAAAGAGGGGAAGAGACATGCAGACACAAAGAAAGAAAAGAACTGGAAAGAAATGTGGGGGTGGAGTGTGTGTGTCTGTGTGTGTGTGTG